GGGGGTTTGGAGTTGTGCCAGCCTTTGTCCTCACGCCTGAAGAATCTCTTGAGCCCCGGGAACCGAGATGTAGTGGGCGTGCTTGTGAGCTCGTTCACGACCAAATTTCAACTTTTTCTTTCTTTGTTTGTTTCTAAAAACATGGATTGAGAAACCTTTGCACCGTCGGTTGGGACGGTGGCCGGTGGGGAGGAGTATTAGTAGGGAGTAGTAGTATGGATGTTGGTTGTTAGGGAAATGTTCAATGAGATTTTGGTTTTAATTCATCAAGATATCTATATGATCTTTTCATATTTGTATAGGGAAATGTTCATAGCCTGGGTATCATTTATCGGGTAAAAATTGACAACACTTAAATGAGATAAAAATTGTTTGTTTTTTTTAATAATGATTTTATATAATTAAAATAATAATATAAATAAATATATTTATTGAGATAAATATTTCTTAAAAAATACTTACTCAAATAAATTTTACATATAATGAATGAGTGTTTTATACAAGATAATATTAGACTGATGATCATGACACCCAAAATCAAGAGGGTCCATATATGTTGTTTATGCAGTGCAGTATGGCAAAAACGCAAGGCTTGGCTTGGTTATACCTTAATTTATTTTTTGTCTACTTGGGCGGTAGGCCGTGGCCTTCAAATCAAACTTTCAAAGGCCGGTGATGTGACACAAAAGGGTGTCCTCTCGTACATAAATTTATTATGGGTTGTTAATTAATTAGGTAATTAACTCTTCTGGTTCTACTTCATACCTAAAGATTGTAATTGTTGGATTAATATCAAAATCTGGACGGCCCTTTTTCTTTACCCTGACTTGACAAGTAATCAACTAAAAACAGTACTCTCTGAACCCAAATAAATGAACAAAACTAAACTAATAAATAGAGTCTTGATGCAGGCCATTTTGGGCTGGGTCAAGAATTGGCCGTCTCTCGAACCTCGGCCTATATTTTTAGGGATATATATGGGTGGGTTGGTGCTAGCCATGCAGGATGCAGGGCAGCCCACAAAGCCTTAATTAATTACGAACCTAGAAACTACATTTAAGGACCAAAAACAAATTCCACATTAGAAATGCAATTGCTACAGCAGTCCTGATTCTTGTCTGTCAGTGTTTCAATTCATAAGACCTCACCTGAGTGTCTGGAGGGGACTGGTGCATGCAGGCAGTTTGGCTATGGTCCCTCCTGTTCCTTATCTTGACTTTTGAGGAGTAATGACATAGGACTAGACTAGTTAATTAGTAGTAGTTCACAGCTTCCACAACCAAACACGGTTTTAACGCCAGATCTTACCATGTACCGTCATGGCCTAGCAATAGCATTGCATTGCAAGTCTCTACGGTGCTGGCCACCTTATTCTCCCTCCGCCCTGCCCACCATCATCAATGGAATTGCCCTACAGAAGTACAGAGTACAGACAGCCCACAAGTTTTAGGTCAGAGTAGGCGGATCCAGTGTGGATCCAGTTGATGTTGATGCACGCACATACAACAGAGGCGTATATAGAGCTAAGAATTAGCAAGCACGCACAGGCACAGCCAATCCAAGACCATGCATTGGAGACTTGGAGTGGTCCATTCATTAAATTAAACCATAGTGCCGTGGACCGCGACTGGGCCTAGAAATAGATAGATCATGGTCTAACTGTGGCAAGGGGGCCGGCCGCCGGCCCACTGAAGATTGTACATCCAATCTAGTCGGTATAGCTATCACCACAGTTAAGCCAACAACCAGCAGAAGAAAGAAAAGCGTTTTGTATCAAATCCTCAACAGGGCGAATGGCCGTAGGCCCCTATTTAACCACTGCGTTGCAATTTCATATGTCCCTACACGGATTAGATTCATACAGATAGTGGAGTGGAGGGAAGAAAACTGGAACCCCGATGAGGAATCTATATGATTATTTCACCCCCACTATCTCTGAAGTCTGATCACACACTCCAACTTCTCTGCCACTGGCGACTGCGAGTGCGAGGAGGTTATCTTCGTTTTTTCCTTCTCTCATGCGTAGGAAATCGAGCCCAGATATCATTAATGAGGTCCACCTCTGGACTCTGGGGTTCAAACTGAAATAAAGGCATGGGCTCTTTCTCTCTTTTTCGTTTCTTTCGCCACCTACAGGCTACTACTACGGTATTAGAGAGAGGATCAAAAATCTCTTGCTTTCAAGAGGGTGCACTCTCCTCCCGAGTTCCAACTCGGTGTTATTAGTTGCGGTTCCCCGTTAGTAGACCATATATAATATAATAATAAAGTCACAGACTAATAATAATAAAGAAAAAGAGAAACGGGTCGTCGGGTCCCTGACCCTCTAGTCTCTTCCTACTGAATCCAGAGCTGAAGATTGAATCAATTCAAATAGAGCGATTATCGGATCATTCTCTGTATATCATTGTATGATCAAGCCATGTGACCGGGAGATCTCCTAGATTGCTTCGCTTTGCATGAATATTAATTGTATCAATCAAATTCTCGTTAATTGTATATATAACTTGTTCATTGATGAGACCTACTCAAAGTCAAAACATGGCAGAGATGTTTAGTTTTATTGTGTTAATCAAACATCATCTTTTGTTGATTTAAACTAATTAAGCCAGCTTTGTCTTCAATATGCATGTTATAATATCCGCATCACCAGGCCACAATATATAAATAAAACTTCGAGCTTATAAATATATTCTCTACTCCTACAAAGAATCAGTTTTATGATGTCTGAATATAATATATACAAGAAATGCTTGGCTATTGCTAGGAAGTAGGATCGATCGGAATGTCCACATTCAACGTGCCTGTCAAAAAKCCAGACAATGCTCCGACAAATTAATTTCCATCAATTAATTAACAACTTTCTTTCATCTTTCTGTATTATATTTTGATACTAGCGAAAAACCCGTGCATGAACGGGAAGAGAGAAAAAAAAATGATAGTTAATGAGATGCATTACTTTTTCAAAGAAAATGAAATAATAATCATATCATTTGTGACTATTTTTTACTATGGCTTAGACTTAACTTTTTCTACTCACTCTCTACCCGCCGTGAATTGCAGTCACACATCTCTCAATTTTATAATAGAGATGTCAGGGTGGGTAAAGAGTGGATAGGAAAAGTGAGTAGAAAACCCCCATTGGATAGGAAGATGCATGGGACTGGTTATCTAGGTTTGCATTGGTCCTATGCCAATATAACCTTTCTTATATGCCTAATCTCCAAATAACTTAAATTGCACAATTAAGGTCAATGTACAGAGCACTAACAGGTTTGTTCTATGGATAAAAAAGTTGTTAGCCAATTTATTTTTCTCTCAAGTTATTTCTCATCTATAGCAACCAAGAGGTGATTCACCTCTTCACTTTGCCCATTTGTTGCAACTTGTAACTACAATTTGATCCAAGGCAAGCTGAAATAGACTTAAGACGGTAATATATAGTAGTAATT